CGGGGGGGGCTGGCATGTTCTGGTCCATGGGGTCACAAAGAGGGGGACACAACATAATGACTAAACAACAACAAATTCCGAGAGGCAGTGGAAGACAGGGGGGGCTGGCATGCTCTGGTCCATGGGGTCACAAAGAGGGGGACACAATGTAACAACTAAACAACAACAAAAGTCTTCTGGAAATAAAGGATTCTGAAATATTTTATTCAGATCCATTAATCAATTCAAAACAAAAGACTATATTATTTTTAAAAGCCAACAAATTAATACATTCTCTTTACCTTCAGCAATTTGTCGTAACGTTCTGCTGACATGAGGAAACGGCCATCTTCTAGTTGCATTTCCCTGTTCTCTAACAAATTGTTCAATACCGGCAAAACATTCCGCTCAGCTTTCTCCAAGCCTTCCAAAATCAGGATTCTGCCTTCCGTAGCTGCCCGTACTGCACACTATGAACCAAAACAAATTTCGCATTAGAAATAGAAACATGTATAGTCCACAAAATGCTTGCCATTTTTCTTTAGCTTTTTCAACTCACTAACGCCTCTTCCCAGCCACCAAATGAAGACGAAAGGAAGGGCAATTGAATCAGTGAGTGTAAACAGGATCTCAGTTGTGCCTAAGTGTATATGCTTGTGCAAAATGGGTATAGAATAAAAAGTGCAGAGAAGCTGAGAACTAAATCAGAGAGAATTTGAGTTTTTAAAAAGTGTAATTGCTGAGGGAAAGAAATCCGAACACCTGACATCACCCTCTAATGAGCCTGAACACTGTTTCATCTAATTCAGCAATTGTCTATCCTGACCAGCAGCGGTTTTCAAGCGTTTCATAGAGCAAATGATCTCTGTCCTGCCTAGAGATGCCAAAGGTAGAAACTGAGATATTTTGCATGTAAAGCATGTACTCAACCAATGATAAATATTCCTTCTTTCAACATTTATCGGGTCACTACAAGGTTACAAGTAAAGCAAGTTCCCACACGCTCCTGAACTTTTCATCAGGCAATCATGACATTCTGAAGCAAAGTGTGGGCTGGATAGAACAATAATCAGGTGGCTCCACTCTTGATTACAGAATCATACTCAAAAAGTGTTTATCAATGGTTCCTCCTCAAACTAAGTTGAGGTAAGAAGCAGGGTATGTATTACAAGGTTCAGTGTTGGGCCTGGTGGTCTTCAATATTTTTATTAGTGATTTCAATCAGGAGGTGCTAACCAAATTTGTGGGTGATGCAAAATTAGATGGAATAGCTACATGGCTACTTTTTTCTGGTTTCCACATATTGCCTAACACACAAGATCATCAGATATACCCAGTGACAAATGGCAGAAACTCCTTTGATTTTAGACTGGTTTATATGATCTGAAGAGAAACCAGAATTTTGGCATTCTATGCAAGCTGCAATAGCCCATAGATAAGGCCTATGATAGGGAGGTAGGAGATAATTAGTAAGATGTATGAATGTAGTTTTATATATATGTATATAGATGTTTTTAGTGTTTTAGTTTTGTGTTTTGAATGTTTTTAGATTGATTTTATGTCTCCTAATTTAAATAATGTACTGACTGTAATAAAAGATTTATTATAATTATAAATAATAATAATAATAATAATAATAATTATTATTATTATTATTATTATTATTATTATTATTATTATTATTATTATTATTATTATTAGACTGTTTTTTGATTAAAAATTTTCAGCATCAGATGAAGGGTAAAAATTGAGGCTACTGAACATACTCACTTGATCAATGTAATAGGCAGTGCCTGATCGGATCTCTCTACGTTGTTTGAGATCAGTTTCTGTTGTATCTCTGCACAGTGCAATGTACTCAACCTCCCGCTTGGTCAACTCCTGCAGAGTGTGGCACATTATTAGGGGACATTTGGGCTTTGAAAATTATCAAACAAAAAATTATCCATCAGCACATCACTAAATGGTCCTCAAGGTAAGGAGAAACATTTTATATTGAAGCCTAGTTTAGTGTTCTCCTTCAATCAGCATTGCTTCATTTTCTATTTACACTACACGTACTTTATTCCTAAAACAACCAGCTCTATATTACTCAGACAGAACAATGTAACAATTTGTTTTCCATAAGGAAACAGTAAACCACTTCTGAATACTATATACCTAGAAAACAGAGAGAAGAGCAGCATGTTAACCTGAAAAAGAATCTTGAAAAGTCTGCACCATACTTCTCAACAATGTTGCTCATAACATGATACAGAACAATTATCATAAACATCCAAATATTACCTATTGAACTTCTGGAGAGCTCAGTTTTTCAGGTATCTGGTTACAGAGTCAGAGGTGGGGAGCTCAATTCCCCACTGTGCCATCTTGATAGAGGTTGAACTCAATGACCCACAGGGTCTCTTCCAGCTCTGCAGTCCTAAGATTACTATATTATTTTAGGAAATGGATTCACGATTTCTGAGCATGTATGTGTGTAATTCAACACAGCTGTGTAACTTTCCATCGCCATGCTGCCATTTGCCTTGCTCTTGGTAAAAAAAAAAAATACAAGCTTGCAGGAGAACAGATGAAGATTTGGAAACAGGTCCATACGTCCATTCCCTGTAAGTGCGTGATGTGTTCAGTTCCCTTCTTCATGAAGGGAGAAAGAAAGCAAAACCAGAACTCTTTGTTATCCTATAAGAATAGTCCTATGCAGAGGTGCTCCACCTATACTGGAATGGATACAGTGGTGCCTCGCTTAACGAGCGCACCGTATAACGACGAAATCGCATAGCGATGCAGTTTCCGCGATCGCTAATGCAATCGCTTGCCGATGGCCCCAATGGGCGAAACTCGCATAGCGAAGGGCGGTAAGCGTTTCGCTTACCGACCTTCGCTTTGTGACCCGCGGATCAGCTGTTCGGCGGATCCAAAATGGCCACCGGAACAGCCGCAATGGCCGCGCGCAACGTTTTCGCGCCCTCGGTAAGCGAGGGGAGGGCGTGAAAATGGCTGCCGGCTATGGGAAGACTTCGCTAAACGGTGAGTTTTCAGCCGATTTGGCTTTTTACTTTCCGTTTAACGAAGTTTTCACATAGCGAAGGTTAATCCGGAATGGATTAACCTCGCTATGCGAGGCACCACTGTACTTTGAATTACTCTGTAATGATCACTACAGCACATTCTACACCAGTACTTCTTGAACTGGCCACAGCACCTTATATTACAGATAAGTCAACAGTATCTACAGTCACACTACAAATCCAAGTTGACTGTATCTGACAGACTACAGGCAAGGTACGATCTCCAGACACATGATTCAACAAATCTATGGAAGGAAAGCACATCTGGTCAGCTCCATGCATAATATTCTAAACCCCCTAGAAAAAAGGCATGGTATGATGATGTGCTGTCAAGCTAATTCTGACTTTTAGTGACACTTTCTGAGTATACAGTACTCATAAGCTATCATTACCTTCTTCTAGGGGTGCCCTTGGATTAATACCTCTCCAAGGCTACAAAGGCTAGCTCATCTCCCAAAAGGCATAGTGGGGAATCGAATTTCCAACCTTTGGCTTCACAATCAGGTACCCAAGCCACCGATACACAAATGTTTTAAAATACAAATACTTTGTGCCATCAGTAAATTAAAAAAAAAAACAAATATTCAGATACAGTGTTCATGGTTTGAATTAAATTCTTCCATATTGGAAAAGAGATCTCAACTAACATCTTAAAACATAAACATAGCTACATTACAGGGTCTTCTACTAGAAACCCAAGCATATACCTTGAGGATATATTCTACATCTCAGTTAGATTGGTAAATATTGTTGTAAAAATTCTTAATGTTTGTTTCAGTTCTCTATAGAAAATTAGGTACATTTAAAAAAACTTACCAAGTACTGCATGGCAATAGACCGCCGAAGAGGCCCAGGGGGGCCTATAAGAAACACATCCTGACCCAAAAGGTCCTTTTGCATGATCCATCTTAGATGCTGAACTACAGATTGAGCCAGAGAGTCTGAAACTAATTGAAAAAAGGTAATCTGGAATTTGCTCTTATTCCAACTCCAGATTTCTGATTCTGAATTTATCATTCTAGCGTCATTCTACATGAGCTCACTTTTGTTGTGTGCTTTCCAGTCGGAAGCTGAATGTGGTGATTAACATTTAAACCAATATAGTTGTTACTTCACGGATGCATAAAAACAATCAGTTTCTTGAATACAATGACATTAACAAAATACAGTGTAGTTAATGCCTCAAGTATTAGGACTGAATTTTGGAGAAAGAGATTTAAATTTCTGCTTATCAGGGAAGTTCACAAGATGGGCAGGGGCAAGTAATTCTCTTCTGGTTTACTCTACTTCACAGGATACTCATGATCGTAAAATAAAATACCATATATATATATATATTTAATTCAAAAACAAGAATTAGTTCCCCTCTGAATGCCCAACACCAATAAATTCTGATTATGTATTTCCTGAAATGAATTCAGCAGCATGTGATCAAATTTTTGTACAGTGGGGTCTTGACTTAAGAACGGCTTGAGTTAAGAACATTTTGACTTAAGAACCACTCTCATAGGAAAATATTGACTTGACTTACATACTTAGATTTGAGTTAAGAACTGAAAAAACCCACGTGGGAGGCAGGGAAAGTGCAAAATTTGAAATGATCAAATTTTTGTATCTACAATCTACAAGTTACTTTTCAGTCAACTTTGCAGTCAGACATGAAACAAATAATGAAACCTACTCAACAAAGGTATTCCTAGATATACTGGGGTTCAACCTCAAAATGATTAATCGAAATATGAAAACAAAATGCATTACATCAGCAAATGAAATTCAGATTTGACATTCCCACATTACTACTATAAGTGGTCTAGCATTCTGAACCATGCAAGGTACTTTAAAAAAAGGGAAATAATGTAAAATCTATACAGACATGATGCTTCCAGTTTTTTAGCCCTGGAGTCTCCAGTGGGGTGTTCATAAACACAGCATGGTCCATAGAGCCTTTCTACTACCTCAGCCACCTACAAAGATTTTCACATGCATGGGCACACCCTCAGAGAGCAGCTTTATCCTCATGTTCAGAACGGAGTATCAGTATTGACACATACATACAGATAACAGAGAAAATCAGAGTGACATTATTTTCACTTCATTTTCCATATACTCTCTTGGCTGGGACTGGAAAACATTATTTAAGGATAATTCAGTCTGAGAAGACACACAGAGTTGAACAAGAAATAAGAGGAATGATGATCCTTCCCATTTTCTCTCTCAGCCTTTTTGTTCAAGGCTGGGGTGACCAGCCCTGCAGAGTGTGATGCAACCAGGAGGAATGTGCCATGCAAAAATGTTAATGGAGGAGCACCCCAAAAGGAATGAAAATTATACATTAATTTGAGGGATGTAAAGGAATGGACCAATGCAAGTGAATTAAAAGAAGGGAGGAAAAAGGGCATATTTCTGTTTTCTTTTTGTGATTCAATCCCCAAGCCCCAAATCTGTGCCTCTCTGTTTTTCCCCCTCCATCCTTTCTCTGAGGTCTGTGTGCTTATATCTTTTCCTATCTCTCTCTAGGTCTCTGTATTTTCTGAATGGACACACCCCTTACAATCATTTTGTGATGGCCTCACAGGTTTTCAAGATTTGTTCCCATGGGCCCAAAACATTTGGAGATTACTGCCCTAATGGCTCAGGAAGAGAGATTAAAGAATTTATACTTTCTTGATCAAACTTCACTGTTGCACACAAGTTTTCTTTGTCAACCTTCACCACAATTCATGCAAATGAGGACACTTAATAAGGGATCTAGACACAGGCTGGGTAATTACGGTGGCTTTCCTCTCCCATATTATCCATACTATTATTCAAATCCTAGTGTACCATGCCTGGAAGCCTCTGGAATGTCTTTACCTGCTAATCCAGAAGTTTACTTAGGTAGACATGTAGCAACTTTAACACTATTACTAAAATTAGATACACTTTAAAACAGGTACATACAATAAAATGAGGCAAAAACATAGTAAAAGAAGATTTAAAAAACCACTGTGGCACCTTAAAGACTAACTACTATACTTTAAGTGGGACGTGGTGGCACTGCGGGTTAAACCACAAAGCCTCTGTGCTGCAAGGTCAAAAGATCAGCAGTTCGCATTCATGCGATGGCGTGAGCTCCCGTCACTTGTTCCAACTCCTGCCAACCTAGCAGTTTGAAAGCATGTAAAAATGTGAGTAAATAAATAGAGACCACCTTGGTGGGAAGGTAACAGCGTTCTGTGTATAGTCATGCTGGCCACGTGACTGCAGAAACTGTCTACGGACAAAACGCTGGCTTTATGGCTTGGAAACGGGGATGAGCACTGCCCCCTAGAGTCAGACATGACTGGACATTTGTCAAGGGGAACCTTTACCTTTAGGTAAAGGTTCCCCTTGACATTTTTAGTTCAGTCATGTCCGACTCTAGGGGGCGGTGCTCATCCTGTTTTCAAGCCATAGAGCCAGCGCTTGTCCGAAGACAGTTTCCGTTCTCACGTGGCCAGGGTGACTAGGGAACGCCGTTTAACCTTCCCACTGAGGTAGTACCTATTTATCTACTCGCATTCATATGCTTTCGAACTGCTAGGGTGGCGAGGAGCTGGGACAAAGCAACAGGAGCTCACTCTGTTGTATGGATTTGATCTTATGACTGCTGGTCTTCTGACCCTGCAGCACAGGCTTCTGCGGTTTAGCCTGCAGTGCCATCACGTCCCATATTTTACCTTTACCTTTACTATACTTTAATGTGAGCTTTTCTGGACAAATCTACTTCTTCAGGTGCAAGAGTGGGACTACATGGGCCAATTGCTGTAAGGGACTGTATTTTTCACAAAGAGATTTTTTTTCTGGGCACAGGTTGTTGATAGAGCAGCATTTCACACCTGGCAATGAACTTTAAGACCCTCAGTATTGGTATTCAGTTCCCCTTCCAGGAAACATTGTTCTATAAGCAATGACAATGATGGTGTCTAAATCCCAGGTAATAGATAACAAGCAAGAGCAACATGGTGTGAGAGGATAAGCCTGCCGGATAGCTGGTAAACTCATGAAAAGCTGTCTGGCCTCTTTAAGCAGGCTAGGAAAGGTAAGAAAGAGAAGAATGCTAAAGAGAAGGGGAAAGTGAGAACAGGTGATGGGCAAGAATTAGCTTGATGATGAGCACCTGGCAGAGGCAGCTTGGAAGCAGATAAAAGCCAGGGTGGTCTTTGGTTGAAGAACAAGAGAAAGATTAATTTTGGGTGAATGTAGAGGCAGAATTGCTGTTGCTGACCAGGGCTGATGAAGAAGAGGTGGTGTGTTTCTCTCAAGCCAGACAGGCAGCTGCTAACTGATAGTGGACTTTCCACCCATCCATCATCCTGAACAGGAAAGGTGGAGGGAGAAGGAATGGGCTGTTTAACTAGAACTCTTGCTGGGGACTGTACAAAGTTTCCTTGAGATGTGTCAAATCCCACCCTGCTTGACTTGGACTTTGGGAGAGCTCACTGAGGTAACTGAGGACCCTATATTAGGGGAGGGGACACAGGAACCGCTGATTACCCCTCAACACTCTGCTCCAATGGGGAAATGGACTCTGCACAAGTGGGTTGTAACTCTGAATAAAGCTCCTCTATTCCTGATACCTGAGACTGAGCCCAGGGATTCCTTGCCAGAGAAGTTGGCTGCTGTCAACTCTTCGGGGCAGGAGGCTGGTGGGGCACAGACATGATAATGAATGAGTGTCTCTAATCACCAAATATGGTAATATAAATACTGAGTCCGTTAAGATGGGTTTTATACATATTTTATCTCAAAGGACACTTCTCTCTTTGGATTTTTGTCCTGTGATTTTTCTTCTCTTGAATTACAACTTTCAACATATGGCATGAAGAAATTGGAAACAAACAATTACTATGTATAAAAACAGCTCACAGGTTTCCAGTTGTGTCAATACATGTTTACTGTTTAAAAAGTCAAAGCTTTTGATGGTAATATCCCATGCCATCTTCATCAGGGAAGGTAAGATATCAATTAAACAATGCAAACTATTTATTATTTATATAACTCAATGTGTTTGTGTAATAAACAAGCTCATAGTCCCACAAACATACAACTAAAATTGGACACAGGGAGAACTAAGAAACAATTCAATTTTTCAAAAAACCTCCAGTTTATGAATGTGGGATATTGTGCTTCTGTACCCACGATTCAAAAAACCAGGAAATGGCCCAATATCATGCCAGACACTAATAATATGCCACAGAAAGGCTGAACACTGTATCATAACTTCAATCCCAAATGCACACATATCCCCTACATCAGTGGTTCTTAACCTTTTTGAAAGAAACGCCCCCTTGAGCCATTGAGGAAGTTATCATCGCCCCCCTTCCCCACGGTGATGATATCTTATTTATTTATTTATTTATTTATTTATTTATTTAAGACACTTAAATCCAATGACCCCTGAAAACAAAATTCAATTGCAAATAAAATGAAATGCCCCCAAAAAGTAACATTTAATGATTTAGTTGCAAGGGAATTTTAAGACGCAAAAAGAAATATTAAAAGGGTATAAAAACAAACCGCAATGCAGGAATTAAAAATTTCTAGATGAAAACTCTGAAACTAAATTAAGATTGGTGGAAAATATATATTCATGCACACTGTAAAAAGGCTGCAGCCATCTTCACAGGTTTGGCTTGCTCCAGCGCCCCCCCTACTGCCCCCTTTCTGCTCCAGTGCCCCCACGCCGCCCTTTTTCGTTCTACCGCCCACCTGAAAAATGAAATCGCCCCCTGGGGGGCATTATCGCCCACGTTAAGAACCACTGATTTAATGCCTGGAAAGTTGTTGAGCCTTCTTGCAGCCCAAGAAGCAGTAGTGTTAAAGCTTTGCTTACTGCTAAAATCTGCACATCCCTGTTACGTTTCTCTCTGTTGTGTGTAGGTACACAGACATATGTGCACATGCATGTATCTACACACACATGCTTACACTCTTACGTTGTCTGTGGCGTGCTCTCCCTGCTCCAGTCATTGTAGGTTGCTCTTTCATTCCCATCTTACACCATATTCTGCACAGGAGGACCTGGTTTGACCTGCCTGTATGAAGCTCCAAGACAAATCGCAACGTGTAAAAGGTTGGCAAGGATTTAATTTCCTGTTCTTTAATAAGCAAAGTGATTAGAAGACGCAAGGGCCGTCTCCTAGAGACGGATCAGGAAGATCAGTTTCATCCCAGCCTGGCAATGCTGTGAGCTCACCAGGGGCTGGAAAAAGGCTTTACCAAGATCTCCCTTCAATGAGAAGCCAGCCCAAGACCTCCAGCTTCCAAGCAGTGAAGGCCACGTCAAGCAATTCAGGACCTTGGACAGCTGCCAGCGTGTCCTCCCAGGAACCAAGGGCAGTTGTTTCAGTAAAGATCTCAGCTGTGCAGAGTAGCAAAGGAACAAAGTCATCACTGCCCATAAGCTCTTGGGGAGATTTAAAAGGCTTTGAGGTAGGAGTGGGCAAAGTGGGGCCCACAGTCTCCCTTAGGTCTCTGGCTGTGGAGCCAGACGTTGGAAGTTCGATTCCCCACTGTGGCTCCTTGATTGGGGGGGTGTGTGACATGACCTTTAGCCTGGTTTGTTTCTTTTTGCACACCACACACAGAATGATTACAGTGGTAGGGAAAGCCCCCCTCCCAATTCTGCGTTGGCTGTCTCTAGCAAGCATGTCATTGCTAGCACCACTCTGGCAGCCAATGATGATGATGAAATCCTCTGCGAGCTAGCAAAAATTTAATGCAATTTGCTAGGCACGTTGGACACCTTACTACTCCCTATACCACACCATGGCTGGAGTGCAATGTGTTTCAGCAAAAATAGTGCACATCTTTATCAAATTTGGTGCATCCTGCTAGTTCGGTACACAGCTTGTGTAGATTCAATAATATTTTTAATTCAAATAATGTAATATTTTCCTTCTTTTTGAATCAAGGGGGTAATGTCGGCGTATATAAATTGGGGGGGGGGGAGGTAAAAAAGTTCCCTGACCCCTGCCCTACATAAAGAAAAGAGCCACCGTTTGGAGCCAAAATACAGAATAAGAAAAGATGTTTTATACAGAAGGTAAGGGGGAAAGAAACAACTTAACTCAGGGAGATGTCCATAAGATTCCTGAAACGTGTTTAGAAAAGAATTGTCACTTTTTACTGTGGCACCGGACCAAAGCGCTCCTCGTCCGACAGCTTCCTTAAAGGCACACTCTTCACCACACAGATCGTGCCACAACACGGGTGGCGTGTAGAGTCCCCCTCGAGTGGTGGTTGACTGAACGACGCGTCAGGAAGGATCACCTTCCTCGAGTGACCCTGGCCCCTCGGGAACACTACCACTGTCCATTCTGTGGTCTCGGTCACGGTCACTCCTTCCTTCTTTAAGGCTGGGTCCGGCAACAGTCCGCCCACCTTCAAATTGGGGAAATCCTGTAGGAGTTCATACACTCTCTTCTATTCTCCTCCTCCTCCTCCTTTCATCTCCTATGGAATTCTGAAAACTCGCTTCTCTCCCTCTTCCTTTTTATCCTCCTCCCAAACTGGTCATATTAGCTCCTTCCCTTCTTTCCTTTTTCTTCCTCCACCAAACAAATCTCTGTCTTCATCCCCATTTCCTCCTTCACTTTATCAATCACCCCTTCTGTTTCCTCTTTTGATTGCTTGGTTACACATTCTTTTATATGAGGAGATTGCGCACTCCCAACATCTATCTCGTTCTCACAGACAGTCAAATAGCTGATATGATAAAAACCATAAACACCTAACCATGTAAAAACAGAGGGCACCAGAGCATTAATAAAACTGTATAAAAACGGGGGGTGGGGGGAATAGCAACACGGAGATGTAAGACTACCTCGGCTCAACTAAGGTCAGAGTGGAAGGCCTCTCTAAAGAGCCATGCGTTTCGTTGCCTTTTAAATGTCACCACGGAGGAGGCCAGGCAAAGCTCCTCCAGGAGCTGGTTCCACTGAGATGGAGCCACCACAAAGAAGGCCCTACCTCTCGTAGAGGATTGATGAGTCTCTCTTGGGGTGGCTACTCATTAAGACTATATTGGGTGTACTGCCCCTTAAAAAAATTCTCAGAACCATTTAAAATAAGACACGATGTAGAAGCACTTATTGAGCTGAAATTACTACCAGCATAAAACCAATAATTAGTGTTTTTCAAGTAGCATGAAACAGTATGAAATCCTATTTATGACTAAAAGACTTGAGAAAATAAGACAGTGGCCCAAATCCTTGTGCCTACTAATACTGGCCAAATGGCATGACTTTTAGAGGTAAACTGCCTCAAGTTAAAAAATCACTATAGAGGTTAACAATTGCATACTAAGTTGTATTACACAGTACGCAACTGATAAGGCACTTTCCTTAGGGAACCTACTTTGTGGACATATAACTTGGATGTCTGAAACCCAATCTTCACCAAACTTGGTGGGATTGTAGAGGAGAGACAGTATAGGCCTCTGTGTTTTTGGTGCTTCTAGGTGCCTTGGGGAAACTTTCCTGGGGGGGGCTCCTTATGGGTGTATAACTTGAATGTTTTAAATCCAAACTTGCACGGCTTGAAGAGAAGAATCAAGGAAAGCTTCCCCATGAATTTGGTGTCTTTAGGTTCTAGGTGGTGTTTTATAGGGTTTCAAAGTAAAAACAATTTATAAAGAAAAATATTAATCAATAATTTAAAAATTAAATAAAATTGATTTAAATCAGAATTTAAATTAAAAAATTATTTAAATCATCAAAAATATCTGATTTTTAAAATTTAAATCCACCTTGCTTTTAGCCAATTGCCTCTTGCCAGGTAATGAGGATACTAAGAGAAGACACTTTATTGAAGTTCTTAAAGTAAGAGAAAGTACATGTAGAAGGAGGTGGTCCTTGAAACATCCTCATGCAAAACCATAAATGCTCTAAAGAACCAGCACCAGACAAGAATTCTCTAATACAGCGATCCCCAGCTGCCGGTTCTCGGCCCGGTCCCTGGCCTGGGCCAGAGACCTACCCCTGCCCCCTGTGCACACGCACCCCTGCACTGCCCGTTTGCACCTGCACACATGCTCTGGCTTGCCCACACGAGCGCCATGCCGCCATTTGTGCATGTGCACGGCCGTGCGCGGTCCCCCACTGCCATTTGCGCATGCACAGGAGTGGTCGTGTGCATGCGCAAATGGTGGCATGCACCTGTGCGGGGCCCATGGGCACCTGTGCGCATGTGCAAATGGCGGTGTGGCGCTTGTGTGGGCACACGCCCGCCCATGCAAGAGAGCGTGTGCACGGGGGTGCCCCGCTTTCCCCAGCCGGTCCGCGGACCGAAAAAGGTTGGGGAACACTGCTATAATAGAACCAGAAACACAATGAGAAACAGTGTGATTGTACCACTTAGTCTCAGTTTGTAAAGAAGCGGGGTAGCTTCTTGTGGAAGCAACTGCAGTTTGCAAACTACCTTCAAAAGTAGTCCCCTATTGTATTAGAGTCCAAGAAAAGTTTTCTTACTATGTAACCAAATATTACTGATACATTTCAGAATACTTAAGTTTAGCTACTTTTATTTTTAGTTATGACTTAGAGAAAAGAAATTGGATCAGACTTAACAGATGCCTAAAAACAGAAACAAAATTCAAGAATGCAAAACAAGCTGTCATGTAGAACAGAATATAAATGTTACATAGCATACATTAATGCTCCAAAGGCTGAGGGGTTCAGCCCCTCTAGAAATGAGTGCAATCAAATGCACTTATACTCTCCTACTCATTTTTGTAAAGATTATTTACCCTGGAGGATTTTATTACTTGACTTAGTTCCCACAGAACTTCACTATTTCACTTATTTAGAGGAATGAAAACGTAGGAAGGTTTGCCATACGGCTTCCTAAAAATGACTAGCTGAACTTATAGTTTAACATTACTTGTGCGCAGGTTATCAAGGACTGCACAGATCATTATGGAAGTCAAACAAAAGTAAGGAAAAAAATCCTACTCCTCTCAGATTTTGATTCCACCCCTCAAAGCTTTTTCTGCTTCTCTTCCTATCTCTACTCCGTGGCAATAAAAAAACTAGTAAACATTATTTTTTTAAATTGCATTAAAAGAGCCATTCTTGTATTTAAGTGTAGTGTGCAAAGGTAAGTAGGAACACCTCTGCACAGGGCTGAAGAGAGATTCTCTTTAATTGACACTAAGCAGGAAATTTCCAGCTCTTCTCTCCTCACAACTCTCAGAAATAAGAGCAGAGGGCTTCCTGGACAGCAACGAAGCACGGTTTATGAAGAAGTTCACAGGTTAACCTGCAGAATGAGGTTCTCTGTTTTGGAACTTGTTTCACTGGACTACCTTAAGCCTATCAGGCAAAACAAAACAGAAAAAGACAACATGTGACACCTTAAAGACCAACGATTGTAATTATCATGATTTCTGTATTTTATTCTGCATTTCATTTTTTCCATATGTCTGAAGAAGTGGACATGATCTACGAAAGCTCACTTTAAAATATAATAGTTTTTAAGGTGCCGCATGTTTTTGTCTTGTTTTGTTTCTTTGGATTTTGACTGATATGCTTGCACAGACTAACCGGATACTTTAAGCCCGAATTTAGAAGAATGTATTTTCTTACTGTAATTCACTGGGACAAGTTCTGGATTTCTTGGAGTTTTGAGTTTGTATGACACATCTCCAATGGTAACAGTACCACCTGAAAATGTAAAAAAAGATATTTGTCACTGATTATTGCCTGAAAACTACATTACAAACCACTTCCAATTCTAACACTACAAAGACAGAGATGTGTGCTCTGTCAAACTGCATGAATCGCATTTTCTGTTGCTCAAAGCTGGGAGTCACAATCCAGCATAGTCACTGGACTGTGACTCCCAGACAGCACAGAGAGGGCAAATGGCACAACAGTCCATCATCATCATCATCATCATCATCATCATCATCATCATCATCATCATCATCATCATCATCATCATCATGTTTTGATTCTCTATTATTTTTTCTATGCACTACAGTATTCAAACAAGGGATGTAATTATAACCTTGTTCTTTTTTTATGACTGTAATGAGTTTGAGTTTGAGTTTTATTATTATACAGTCATAGACCCAAAAATTCAAAGACAAAAACATTATATAAGATATACAGAATAAGTAAGTTGTTAGAACATACTGTATCAGCAGTATAAAACTTGAGTCATGTGGTTGTCTTATAGCATTTTACGAATTCTTAAAAATGAGAATAAAAACTCAGCCACCGACTGTGTTATTAATTGGTTCTCTCCAGACAGCAGAAACTTCAGGTAGTCTGTGGGAGGTATACTAGTACATTTACACATTATTGGGTGGAAGTAACGGATATGTTCAGACCTATATAAGCTACATTCTAGAATAGTGTGTCCCAAGGACTCCACTGTTTGTTCCCCACAGGGGCATATCCTTTCTCCATAAGGGACGTTATTATAGCACCCTTTTAACAAGGCTGAGGGAAAGCAATGAGAAACCTTTGTACAGAATAACAAGAAAGTTGTATATCTTCCCACTCCACCCCCAAGATAAACTCATGGCCTTTACAGATTCAAGAAATACTTCTGAAAAGAAGGTAACAATAAACAAATATCTCACTAAATCTTATTGCATTTACAACTCCAAAAAGGCTAATCATTCATCCAATCTGTCAACAATAACATTTTTAAATGCTCCAGAAATGTCGACGAGATCCCCATATTCCTGGATTTTGTTCATATATAGTACAGTGGTGCCTCACTAGACAGTTACCCTGCATGACAGTTTTTTCGCGAGACATTGACTTTTTGCGATCACTACAGCGATTTGCAAAACAGTGATTCCTATGGGGGAATTTCACTGGACAATGTTTGGTCCCTGCTTCGCAAACCAATTTTCGCTAGACAATGATTTTGACAGCTCTCTCCGTGCTCGCAAAACGGATGTTTTTGGGACCTAAGCTTCGCAAGACAGCTATTTAAACAGCTGATTGGTGGTTCGCAAAGCGACTTTCCTATGGCCGATCTTCACTAGACAATGACGATTCTTCCCCATTGGAACGCATTAATCAGGTTTCAATGCATTCCAATAGGGAAATGTTTTTCACTAGACAATGATTTTGCTAAACAGCAATTTCAGTGGAATGGATTATCATTGTCTAGTGAGGCACCACTATATATATATTGCAATAATATACAGCATAACTTTGTAGTTCCAAGAGCAAACTTGTTTTTAAGGATAAGGCAGCAATTTGGGGACTAGTTCTAGAGAGGCAGAAATTAGTCAGTTATTTAGCTATTATATTTTTACATTTTACAATGCTGGATGAAGAAAATCAAATTTCTGGGGCAAGCTATCTGATCCTTCACGTTTTGCTCAGGTTAGTACCTGCAGTATTATCTCATGTCCATTAGTGAGCAAAACCAGTTGTGACCAGCTCGGCTAGAGGTGACATAATCACACATTCTGTAAATGGCATAGTCACTCTCCATAGGCTGCATATGACCATTCATAAACCTTGGAGGGCCTCACCTGCTCCTGCAACTCTCACTCCTCAGTGAGGGGGACACTTAAAAAAACAGGATGGCATTTTTAAATGAAAAAGCTCCCTCATGGTGCCCAGTGGCCAGCAGTTTAAAACAACAACAACAACAACAACAACAACAACAACAACAACAACAACAACAACAACTGGTGATGGTATAGGTGGCCCCATGGGTGCTTCTCAAAACAGAGGAAGGCTGCTCCCCAGAGAACATAAGGAGATTTTTCTGGGCCATTTTTCTTTTCTTTTTTTAATATATAACCTTTTTTGTGGGATGTGGGGGTGCTGGGACCACAACTGGCCTCTTGGGGCTTGTGAGGTGAGCCTACAGGCTGAATGTTCAGCACCCGGTTCTGTAATCTAATAGTAAAGGTATGAGTGAAAACAGTACAAAATGACACTAATAAAATCACTTCAAGGAATCAGAAACAGACTAGCTTCGTTGAAATAATGTTAAAATGAAGAACTCCCTTGAAGAATGAAATGGGAAGCCATATAATTCAGTAGCAGACGGGCCGAAGGAAATAGAAGAAACAAAGATAAAAAGGAGAGGTATGTGTAATGTTCACTTATCAGCGTCAAAAATAAAATTCAGTCATTGGATTTTGGAGTGATAAATAGAAAAAATTATTCTTACACATACTAATCTAAAACTTGTTAGATTTCATTATAAATCCACATACATAGTGGCTGAAATACTGTAGAGTAATGACTAGAAATGGCCAGGACCCACCAGTTTGATGGTTTATGCTAGTTCGGTCAACAGCCAAACAGGTATTCTGCCATCCAGCACACCGCCTCCTCCAGTAGGCACCCACTCAGAGACAGTGACCAGAGGAGGCAGGGCAGGGAAGCCAGGGCACTGCTTTTGAGTAGGTGCCTGCTGTAGGGAGCAGCTCATCAAACCGCAGAACACCTGTTTGGCCACTGGCTGAACCTCCATGAACCACCAAAACAGCGGTTCGTGACCATCTCTAGTAATGACAAGTTATGCTATGTAAGGCTGATGAGATCATCAGTTACTGTTGTATTTTGCAAATTAAATGTTTCCTATCTGCCCCCCCCCCAGCTTCCTAGGCTCCCTTATATCCTTGGAAGCCTTTGGGGACACCAAAATGGGGGCAAGAGGTCTGAAACATCTGAAAAATGCAGCTGTTAATGCCAGCTGCCACACCAATGCCACGAGGGCAACAATTTTCAGATTTCTTGTCCCCATCCTTCAGTCCCAAAAGGCTTCTCCAGCACCAAAGGGTTTATATGGGAGCTTCGAACCTGGGGGGAAGAGAAGATAGGAAACTTTTAATTACCAAAATATGGCCATGGCTTATGATATTACAGACCTGCATGCCATAATTTTCTGTTAGTAGATTTCAGCCAGTCTCTTTTTGATTCTTTCAGGATACTGTACAACTTTTCATTAAAGTTGTGTTTTGTCACTTCATGACAATAATTATCATAGTAATAATTATAATTACAACATTTATCTGAAGTCAACTGGTAGCCTCATGTTTATTATTTACATATATTAGCCATCTTTAATATCATTTTTAATGTGGCAAAAATGAATCAGAAATTATTGGAGAAAGTTTCAAAAAGCAACAGGCAGCAATGAAGTAAATGCTAAAAGGACTTTGATCAAAACTGAGACTGTTGGGCAACAAAATGACAGTCATGAGACTCTCTCTGAGAAAGATTTACTGCTTGGCTAGAAACCTGAAGAGATAAGAAGTACTCAAATCCACAGACAGGCTAGAAGGAATAAGAATGAGTAGATCAAGGAAGAGAAGAGCAAGTCAGTCCATCTTCCTCTTTTTTTGCTGCCTTCAACTTTTTCCAGCATTATCTTCTTTTCCAGAGAATCCTCCCATCTCATAATGTGTCCAAAGCAGGGCAGTTTTAGTTTAATTATTTTTGCCTCCAGAGATACTGTAGTTCTGGCTTGACTTGATCTAGGATCTATATTTTCATTTGTCTGGCAATCCAGAATATCTACAAAGCTCTCCTCCAGTGCCATATTTCAATCAATCTTCCCCATCAGCTTATTTCACTATCCAGCTTTCACACAATACAAGAGTGTGGACGATACTGGTATTCATCTCAAGTGACACATCCTTATACTTGATGAGATGTTCTAATTACTTGATTGCTACCTTTCTGAGTCTCGGTTGTCTTCTGATTTCTTGGCTGCAAACCAAGTATACAAAAATCTCTATTTCAGTTACTTTATTTTCAACATTAAAGTTATGTAGTTCTTCTGTAGTCATGATCTTGGGCTTCTTAACTGCCATCCTCCTTTGGCACTTTTTTCTTTCATTTTCACTAAGTCATTTCAAGTCATTGCTTCTTTCTGCTAATAAAATGCTGTCATCTGCAGATCTTAAATTACTGATGTTTCCTCCACCAATTTCCCCTTCTCCTTCACCTGAATCTAATCTGACTTTCTGTATAATATGTTCTGCATACAGACTGAACAGAGAATGGAATAAAATGCACCTTTGTCTGACGCTTTTGCCTACAGGAAACTATTCTGTCTCTCCATATTCTGTTCTAACCATTTGGAGGGAATTAGATGTTTCCTGGAAGCCAATGAGCAGTGCATGGAGGCGGCACCAGGTACAGAGAAACACACCGTCCTCCGGCAATGAAGATTCCATTATTTTGTCAATGATTAAAAAAAAAAAAATCAAAGATATGCCCTTGAAACAACTTGTAAAGCCTATGTACATTATGTAAAAAAAAAAAAAAGTGGGAAGAGGGACTAGTTGAGCCAGCAGAGCACTGCCATCATCAGGGTATCTACCTTTACATTACTCTGCTCACCCCCCACCCCCTACTTGCCTCACTTTCCTGGCTCCCTCTTGAGCCTTCCACCGATTTCTACAATGGTTCTTTCTTTCTTCCTTCTCTCCCCTCAGCCTCTCTATCCGACTTCGCTCTATAAAGCTTGGCGAACGGTACAAACTACGCCTCACCTACTTGCCAGGTCAAGTAGGTAAGGCGGAAAAAATCCCCCGCCTCCCATTACTGCTCTCTTTCCGATACTACAGTTACCCACCCCATCCTGATGGATGCCCTTTTCTTACTCCTCGGGTAGCAGGGGATCCGGGGCGACCTTTGAATGTCAAAAGATTTAGAAGACCTGGTAATTGCTCCTGCTAAAGGCAAGACGCTACGGAGAAGGAGGTCGACTCTACAATAAAGACAAGACTGGGGCAGGGAGGGGGGGGGAGAGGAGAAAGAGGACTGATGTGGGGACCGAAGCAGTTCTTTCATTACCTTCGGCTGTCCCAGCACCATGCAACTCTCGGACATGACATCGCAGTGGCTGGCCGCCTCCTGCACCAGCAGCCGGTCGGGGACGCGCTGCCACTTGTTGCAGGAGAAGCCGGACCCTCCGAGCTGCACCGGCCCCCCCACCGGCACCGCCAGCACCGCCGAGACATACCACCCGGGACTGCATGGCCCGGCGGGCAAAGGTGAATGAGAGAGACAGAGAGACACACACAGAGAGAGAGCCAAGGACTGGGGGAAGCGTTCCGCCAGAGCACCGCGTCCCTCCAGAAACGGCACCCGCTGTTTCCTGGGCCGGGATGAGGCCTCGAAAAGGAGGAGAGGGTGGGTGTGGGTGCCGCGCTCGACCTGTCTGTCCCCGGAGCGACAGAACAGCGGGCTAAAGGCCTGCCTGGTTGCACCCTTGACCTGCTGCTGAGGAAGTGGCTTTTAATGGGGAGGGGGTGAGGTTACTTTCTCCTCCCCATGCGTTTTAATAATTATTTGAAAATCCAACTCCGTTAGTAATCGCATTTAGTTGTACAATTCACTGGGTTTCGTTATATATTTTTTTTTACCCGTGTTGTGAGATGTCCCACTAGAAGGAAGGATATTAGATGGGTAGGTGGGTATTGGGTAGATAGATAGGCAGCGGCGGGGGACGAGGGAAGGTGCAGCGAGGGATAGGAGATAAGTATTTACTGTATCAGTGGGTCGACGACGCTCGGCAGAGAGGGGTGGTGGCGTAGCTAAGGGAGGCAAAAGAACGCGGCAAGGAGGTTATTACCTCTGATCTCAAATTATATTCAAGAAGCTTGTCCTGACAGATTGAATAGATAGGGAAATTAAAAAAACAAAACACCCTTGACTGATAGTTTTGCCTGTTAGAAAGCATTCTGTTTTTCTCTTCTTACAGTAGCTTCCTGTAAGTTACACATCAGGACTATTACTACTCAGGATAATCAAATGTAGTGGCATAGGCCCTCTCTTACATCTGCAACAGTTTTGCCTTTGAGGGTCATGGGAGCAAAAGAAAGATCTTGCCTGGATCTTAAAAGCTGGGCAGGCTCATATAAGAAAAAAATGAGGTCAGTGATATAATAAAAGAAATCCTAAAATCTCCTGTGAAGGAGTAGGCAATGTGGAATGTGATGAGAGTGTGCTGTCTCCTCAAGTAAATGAATCAGTGATAGAAGAACTGAGAGAGGGAACAGAAGGGGTGATTGTCAAAGGGGATGAGAGGGAAGAAATAAAGACAGAGGTTTGTTTGGTGGAAGAGGGGAAAGGAAAGGAAGAGGAAAAGCTAACATTTTCGGTATGGGAGGAAGATAAAAAGGAGGAGGAAGGGGTGAGAAGATTCAGAATACCCCGTGAAGAGATGAAAGAGGGAAGAGAAGCTAAATACCTAAAAGCATGCGATTTATTGCTGGACTTTCCCAACTTGAATGTTAGAGGCTTATTGCCGGATACAGCTTCTAAGAAAGAAGGTGTAACCGTGACTGAGATGTCAGAATGGACAGTAGTAGTATTCCTGAGGGGACAGGGTCACTGGAGGAGGGTGATTCATCGTGACACCACATTCCACCAACCGCGCCTCGGGGACTGGGCGCGTCACCCGTGCTGTGGCATTCCACTAACCGCCCCTCGGGGACTGGGCGCATAACCGTGCTGTGGCACAATTTGTGCCGTTACAGAAGCCAATGGACAGAGAGCATTTTAGTCTGGCTCCACAGTGAAACAAGACAATTCATTCTTTAATCTGTTACCTAATTCTTACGGTCAACTTCCTGAGTTAAGCTGTTTTGAACCCATAGAGGTTGTTATGTTTAATAACTCTGTTCAAGTTCAAAATGAGCCCTCTTGGTTATCTCCCGCCCCAAAACAAGAGCTGCCCTTAACTTACTCCGAACCCAATCACATCTCAAAATAACAACAGCTTTAAAAACAAAGAGCAGTGTCAGAATTTCAGCCACAACAATCAACAAAGAAACAATCTGTCATGTGGATATAGAATCCTAGAACAATTGATTTGGAAGGGGCCTGTAAGGAATCCCAAGTTAAAGCAAATCTGACAGATGGTTGTCCAATTTTCTCTTGAATGCCTTCAGCACTGGAGTGCTCAGTAGCTCCTGAGGTAATTGTTTCCATTGTCGTACTGGTCTAACAGTTATGAAGTTGCCCTGATGTTCAGCCTAAATCTGGATTCCTGCAGTTTGAGTTCATTTGTCTTGCACTCTGGGATGATCAAAAACAGATCTTGCCCCTCCTCTCTATGACTACCTTTCAAGTATTTTAAAAGTGCTATCATATTTTTCCTCAGTCTTATTTTCTCAAGGCTAAACATGCCCATTTCTTTCAGTCTTTCCCCATAGGGCTTGGTTTCCAGTCCCCTGACCATACTTGTTGCCCTCCTCTGAACTTGCTTCGGTTTGTTGGCATCCTTAAAATGTGGTGTCCAGAACTGGACACAGTATCCTAGATGAGGCCTAACCAGTACTGAATAGAGGGGAACCAATACCTCATATGAGGGGTACTATATACATAATTATTATGAGTTTCTTTTTAATAGCAACAAACTACAAAGGATTTTAAAATAGAATGTATAACAAAGGAAAAATTAAAGTAAACGTGTTGTGACATGATTAAGATTCAGATTGATTTCATTATGAGCTTTTGTGCATTACAGTCCATTTTGCCGGATACACTGAGTGAAGTACTTAGCTGAAAGTTTATATACAAGTATAATTGTGGTGATGGGAACCCAGTGAATATGGATGCAGGCATATAAAGTTTTTCAAAGCAAATAAGAATTATTAACACCAATAGTGAGCTTTCTGAGTTTAAATTACATAAACATACTGGCACAGCTAGAACAAAACGGCCTGGCATAGTCTATCTTTGAGGCGCAAAGATAGCTTAGTTATTCCTTTACATGAATCCGGCTGATAAATATGTCATCAATGTATCTCAAATAGAAAGGCTTTTTGAGCACAGGAGCTGAGAAGGATTTGTTCAAGGCTAGTTCTGAATGTGTTTACATACTGTGGCAGCCATAGCAGTGTTGTTGATCTGAAGATACATGTTATTAAAGTAGTTCTGTGTGTGGTCTAATTTGCCTGTGACAACAATCGCTCCTTGTTGATGATGCTGGGATTGTTTTTGAGGCTGTGGGTGACATTACACTCTAGTTAGCTGACACATGCTGGGGTATGGTGGTGAAACCACTTGAGGTTGACATCTAATTCCTGGTTCCGATCTACTCTAGTTATCCCAAGGTGTTTATGTAAATTATACTCTGGAAACTCATTATTGGTGTTGATAATTGTATGGTCACTCCAGCTTCGCATACAGCATCAAAATAACATGGGAAGTAGCAGTTACTGGTTATAAGTTTTTGCTTGATTGGTGTAGAGCGTGACGCCAGGGGCTACTTCCAACGGTGGAAGATGTCAGTGCACCTCACTAGGTAGCTACCATCTGCCTTAAGCTGGGCAGCCCCCAGCCAGTAAGGTGCTGCCTCACCACGGTCTGTTAACCTCACAGGATGTGTGGGGTTTAGGGTGAAAGCCAACAAGCAGATCAATAACCCTGCCCCATGCAACAATCATAAGAAAACTTCTGCCCTAAAGTTGGGCGCCTGGAATGTTCGGACAATGACCCCTGGCTTTTCTGACAACCTGCAGGAAATAGACAACGTGCACAAGACAGCTGTCATTGACATGGAATTGAGTAGACTGCAGATGGACATTGTTGCCCTGCAAGAGACGAGATTGCCAGACTTGGGATCTGTCAAAGAAAAAAACTTCACATTCTTCTGGCAGGAAAAACCACCGAATGAGACCAGGGAATATGGTGTTGGTTTTGCAGTTAGAAATACTCTGCTGAGATCCATTGTTCCACCTACTGTGAGGAGTGAAAAAATCCTGTCTCTGCGGCTCCACACCAGCAGGACCGGTCACCCTCATTAATGCATATGCATCAACACTGTCATCTACAACAGAAGTCAAAGACAAATTCTATGACTGGCAGTTACTATCAAAAAAATCCCTGAGAGAGAGCCGCTGTTCATTCTCAGAGACTTTAACGCTAGAGTTGGTACTGATCACAATTCTTGGCCCACTTGTCTAGGCTGTTTTGGCATTGGAAAGATGAACGAAAATGGCCAACACTTGCTGGAGTTTTGCTGTTATTATGGTCTTTGTGTCAGCAACATGTTCTTTCATACGAAGCTTCAACACTGAGACTTTTGGAGACATCCAAGAGCAGAGCATTGGCATCAGCTCAATTTGATCCTCACTAAATGCTCTAGCCTTCCTAGTATTATGATCACACACAGTTATCAGGGTGCTCATTGTGGTACTGATCACTCCCTGGTGTGTAGCAGAGTAAAACTGTGAATAAAGAGATTATATCACATGAAAAAGGAAGGAAGAAAACATATTGACATCAGCAAGACTCGCAATCAGAAAAGTGAAGGAATTTGCCAAAGCGCTTGAGGAAACTCTTCCAGGCCTGGCTGATAAAAATGCATATGAATGATGGAAACATTTCAAGAATGCTGTGTATAACACCGCCTTGTCCACATTTGGCAAGAAGACCAAAAAGACGGCAGACTGGTTTCAAGCCCATTCGGAGGAGTTGATGCCAGCCATTGAGGAAAAGAAGAGAGCTCTACCAAGCACAAATCATTACCCTTTCTCCACTGTACTTGACAGTTGGTATGAGATATCAATGCTGTTACACTGTATTTGGTTTCCGCCAAACGTGGCCCTGTGCTAAGGACCAGATTATTTTTATTGTGTCCTGATACGTAAAACCATAAAATTCAAAGAGGGTGTACTTTCTTTTTCACATGACTGTACAGTACATAAGTTGTCTGGACAGAGCTTTTGCTTTGTTCTTAAGTTTCCTTGTGACAGTTTTAGGGATCAGGGATATCCTGCTCTATTCTTCCAATGGCAGCGTAGGAATTTCTGCGCCATTGACAGATGTTTACAGGTCTGCCAGGAAATTACATGGCATCTGAAGAAGTGGACCTGGCCACAAAAGCTCACATTAAAATATAGCAGTTAGTCTTTAAGGTGCCACAACATTTTTGCCTTCTTTATTTTTTTCCTTTTGTTTTTGCCTGATATTTCACAACTATATCATTTCAGGTCCTCATATCTTCAGACATCTTAGGCAGTATTCAAATTATATAATCATCTAGCCATTATTAAAATTAATAAGTATGTTCATTTG